TGCGACGCGTACCATCGCTTGGGTCATCGGGGGTATCGTGACCCCCTTGACCACGCGAATTTTCCGTGACGGTACGTTCGTCGGGAACTGCGCGCGCTTCCGGTCGGCCGAATTTTCCTCCTGCGGGAGCTGCTGCGACGGTCCCCTCGAGGCCATCTTGCGGTCGTGCCTCGAGGGCGTGACTCCCGTCAGCGCTACGGACGCCACATGATGGAACAGCACCTTCCTCTGCGGTGGCAGGATCGCCTTCACGTGGCGATCCAGGAACGTGGTCCCGAGGATACAGTCCACCGCGAGGTTGGTGACGACCAAGAACGGCACGCGCGCGACGAACTCACCAATCCGGACGTACAGTTTGAGCTCGCCGAGGGCCTTCATCGACCTATTCGAAGCGTCGATGAGCGGCGGGCTCCGCGCGGACTGGATGGCAGCGCGCCACGGTTCTGCCACACAGCGTAGGTGGATTAGATTCGGGCCGGCGCCCGAATCTAGAACCGGCGTGATGGCGCGCATCATCGCGCGTCGTCGTCCGACCGTTGCGGTGACCTTATAATTTTGCTTCTTGAAGAAGCAAATTGCCGCTTCGTCCGTTCGGCTCTGCGATGGCGCGCGTACCGAAGCGGTCGACGGGGTGCCTTGTTTATTGAGGCTTGGCACGGGGAGGATCGTCGACGCCTCTACGCGTCCTCCCCGGCTTCCCCCGTCAACCCAAGGTCCTCGGGCCCCTCGTCCGTCAGCGGTAGCGCGGGTTCTTCCGATTGGACGGCCTCGCGCGGCTCGACCACGTTGATGCCCGTGGGAGCTTGCGCACGCGAATTTCGCCACGCGGTCGGCGGTTGGCGCTCGAACGGCGAACCCGGGCGGAGACCTTGACGGATCCGAAGCTTTTGATAATTGGCCTCGCGGGCCTGCAAAAGCTTCGAACGCAGCGCGCTATCCGCCACCACAGGACATTGCTCCTGTCGGTGGGTCAGGTCCAGACAGAACCGGCACGGCGGGGGTCCCGGTAATCCTTGGTTGAAGAACCGGACCCGCTGGTTCTGTACTGGCCTTCCGTACGGATGTGCGCGCGCGTCACCGTGTTGGGCGGGCGCCATCGGCGCGCCCGCCGGGGACGAGGCAGGTGACGGATGGTAGCTAGTCGGCGGCGAGCTAAGCGAGCTCGGCGTCGCCGACTGGTCCGTCACCGCCAGTATCTCCTCCGTTTCGGTTCCGCGCGCTGTCGGGAGTTCAGACAGGGACTCGACCGACAGCACGGGCCTTGTCCGCGCGTTGCGCGTGAATCTTCTCACCGAATCGGACGGTGCTTGAGGCGACGCGAGCGAGGTCGCCTGTCTTCGAGCCGAGCGGTGCGTCTCGCCTATCGCTTGCGCGTAGCGTGCCACCGCTTGGTAGTCCACGCCCGGATGCGTCGCGAGATAATTCCGCACCTGCGCGCACGTCGCTGGCAGAAGTCCTTCAACAAAAAGGGACTTCAGGCGCCTGTCCGAAAATACGGTTCCGCAGCGCAACGCCTTGTCCCACAACTGGTTACTGTACACCTCCTCCGTCATATTAGAGCTCTGACGGAAGGAGGTGACATCACCGACCGCTTCGGAAATAACTTCGTCAGTCGCGTACGTGCGCAATAAAAAGTTAACAACTTCCGCGTAGGTTTCGAGCATATCGCGCTGCTCCGCATCGACCGCCATGGTGTTCCCGTGTAGCCTGGACTGGAGCAAGGCGTGAGCCTGCCCAGTCAAATAAAACTGGAAACACCATACGGCCGCGCCTTCGCTGACCCCATTGTGGTCGCAGGCCATCTTGAAGCGCGCGAGAAATCCTAGCACCGCGATTGGATCTTGACCACCGAATGTGTGGGTTTTCAGCTGGACGTCCAACTTCTTCCGATATCGGTTAACTCGCCGCGCGGTACTCGCGTCGTAGCGCGCGCTGCGATTTTCCAGCCTATACGTGCGGTAGTCGACGGCCTTGGTGAACAGGTCGTTCAGCGGCCTGATCACCGGCAGCCGTTTCGGATCCCGCCTCGGGGCAGACCGGCGGTCTCTGCCCCTGCGGTGGCGGTCTCCTTCTCCGCCGGGGCTACTGTAGCCCTCCGGATCGGAGTCTTCTCGCCGGAACCGACGTCGGTCGCGCGCATTGCGACCTCTGCGGTCGCCTCTGCGCGATCCGTCCGACTCGGTGTCCTCGTCATCGGAGGGGTATCCACCTCCTCCGGCATCGCGGTATCGCGTGTAGCGTCCGTCGCGGTTATCATCGGAGGGGTACCCGACCCCTCCGGCATCGCGGTATCGCGCGTAGCGTCCGTCGCGGTTCTTGCGCGTCGCCCTGTGGCGACGTCTTGTGTCTTCTTCCTCGGAGGGGTTTTCTGTACCCTCCGAGGTGTAGCCTTGAGCGCCGGGTGCGCTTCTTCTGCTCGACCGATACGGCTGTCGCTTTTCTGTCGCGAAGCGCCCCAGGCGGTTTTCTGTCCCGCGGGGGCCGGCCGTATCGGCGAGTACGGGAGGGCCATTTTCTGTGGGCCCTCCTGTAGCACCATAAATTGGTGGGAGGTAAATGGTCTTACCCTCCGGGTGAGGGGCCATTGTACCGATCCCGGGTGCGGCGCCGATCGGTTCAGCGTGCGTTAGCGTAGGATCCGGAGCGGTCGAGTCGCGCTGCTCGCGTGCGTCGACTCCTGCTCCGGCGAAGGTCGTGGCCAGACGATTGGCCACGGCGGAGCTGATGGCTCCCTTTAGAGCCGTACCGGACGGGGATTCTTCATCCACAGTGGTGAGCGCGGTCACCACCTCGCATTGGACTTGAGCGGGTAGAAGTTCGTCCAAAAGCGGTGGTATCGCGCTGCGTACGTGCGCGTCCACGAGCGCGGGCACCGTTCGGTCGAGGCATACGCGCGCTACCTGGGGGAGTTCCGTAGCGAGGAACTCCTCGACCCAGGCCTGGATGCGCGGCTGAATCGCGTCGACCATCCATTGGACGCGATTCTCGGTGCCTGCCGACACGGCCGGCGTAACATCCGATGCGGACGCTCGCGTGCGGCCCGGTCGCGGTGGCGGTCGCAGCAGGGCTTCGGGGTTCTCCACCCGGGGGCGCGGTGCGCCACTGCCACTGCGGGTGCTCAGACGCCCGGAGGCGGAGTCTCCCCCTTCTTCCGGTCGGTTCATCGTCGAATACGCTTCGCGATCGACGCGGTGATTTCTCAACCTTTTCCGTCCGTACGGTTCTGCGCGCGATCGAGCGACCACGCGTGCGGCTCAACCTCGAGAGTTATCCCCTCCACAAGAGTACCAAATGTGGGATAACTCCTCTCCGCCCTGGGTTGGGTGAGAGGCGGAGGCTTTAGCGAGGGAGCACGCGGCGCGGACGCGACGCGCCAATTGAACCGATCGGACGAGCTCGCGAAAAGGGAGTGGCTCACTGGCCGGTTACGCGCAGTCGCCCCGTGGTGCGTAAACGGGAGCGACCGGTAACGGGTTAGAAGCCAGCGCGCGCGGCGGACAACCGAAACGGACGTACGTAGGCGCAAAAGGGACGGGGGCGAGCTTGCCCCCGTTTACTGGTGGGGACGGGTGCCAGGTCTTAACCCCGCAGGGGGACGCCTCGGACACCTGTCCCAGTACAGTAGTACAGTACCTGCCGCCTAGTGCGTGCCGGGTACTGTACACAATTAAAAAACTAGCGCCATAATTGCTACTACCGCACGGCCGCTGCTACTACACGTGTGCACCACTGTACACGCGTGTTGCTTACAGACTACCGCACGGACGACACGTGTGCTAACGTACACGTACGCCAGATTACGACCGCTCGGCATGCGCGCGCGCTCGCTACACGTGGGCACAGCCGCCCACGTGTATACCGTATACGGCCGTCCGATGACCTCCGCGCGCTCGCGCCGGTCATTATACTACACTCAGAACCATGGCTTAGAGCTTCCTTTGTAGATGGCTGTGGCATGAACGCAGGGTTATTAGATAGAGGAAACACATCCCTCACACTTTGACGACTAGCTCTTGCAGATACTGACCACAATACAATACGGCGGTCAGAAGCCATGGTGTACACAACGTCTGTCCACAGCTCCTTAGGCAAAACTGATATCTAATCTGTCAAGGACCAGTTACCCCCCCAGTACTTTGGCTTGCTGTCTCGAAAGTGTTTGGCAACAGTATCAAGATATGATCTAATGTTGGAAGGGGTAGGTCTAGTCCATGTAAGACCCTTTGGCACGTTCACTGCATCTTCTATTCCAGCTCTACTACATATCTCACATGTCTGGCGTTCAGCCCTATCCATTTTCGGAAGATACCGCGTCTTCCAGGCCGCTAAAGACTTTCTTGATATTCTGGGATACTTTTTAGACGCACATATCATATTCCAGCCAGAGTTCTTATCTCGGCAATAGCTGCAAAGGTAAACAGTGTTCTCGGAGTCCTGTGGAAGTGTCAGAAAGGGGTTTGGGATGACCCCGGTATCCACACTGGACCTGTTCGAGATTTGAGAGACCGTTAGATGCACAGGGAGACTAGGAGTGCGCTCATTGCCCACATTACAGGCGAAACAGGACCGTTCTGTACCCTCTGCTCCCATGAACGGATCGGGAGAAACCCTACCCTCAGAGTTCATACCTTGGTGTTTTCAAGAACTGAAAATGGTGATGGGAAGCTAAAGCTGCATGTATTTCAATGAAGGGGGTGACTTTGTGTGTCGTGAACAGGAACATAGGAGGAGAGCAATCTGAAGAGTCGCCGTCGCGAGTGTGGCGAAAATATGCCTTTATAGCGTCGGCAGAGTCGATTTTCGATGACTTGTGTCCAGCTCATCGACACAAAAATTTATCATAACTCTCAAAATGCGGAATGAAATTGCCAGATCACTACTGACTGAGTAAAGAAGCTGCGCACAACGACTTTAACACTTCCGCTCCATGCGGTCAGAGAGCACCTGCGACATTTTGCGTTGTTGTCGGGGAAAGAGCGAGAATCTATTCTGTTTGCGCTATGCTCCATCCTACTTTTATCTTTAGCCCTCCCTGCCGTATCTCTCTCAAACAGGCTAGTAGCGGGGCACCTCGCCGACTGCAAAGCCGCCGCGTCTCGTGTTCGGCTCAGAGTTTTGAATCACCGGATGGATGTCACTCGTGGCGATCGGGTGCGCTCCAGGCTCTTCACTCAAGAGCCGAGGCGGCTTCCGATGAACCCGGATCGATGACATCGATGTACGGCGGAGATGATGATGATGGGAGCTCATCAGGAGGTGGGGGTGGTGGAGGCGGTGGGGAGTTTTCTAGCGATCCTAGCGGTCCTGGAGAAAGCTCTGATGGCCCACTTCCGAAAGACGTCCGCATAGCGTTAGCTGCCGGGGTTTTATCTAAAGAGGCGTTGTCTCGCTATAAGGAGGCGATTGCCAATCCACTAATGAAGCTTTGCTTGGGGATCCCTGCGTTCCGCACCCGCTTCTTGGCCGATTCATCATTCGTCTTCAAGTTATTGGTACAAGAGGTCGTTGGCAATGGTACGGCGCTAGCGTCTGAGATAGCGGTGCGCGGCAAGGATATCATGCAGGAGTTGGAGTACGTGGCCTCTGACCTCATTGTGGGTACTGTTGTCGAAGCGGCCTTCGTCTGGCTGCTAGCTCCCACACTATCCCTGCCAAATGAAACCATGTCTGGACTGGGCAAGTACCTCGCTACCCTGCCCAGCAATATCTTCCAGCAGTCTACAGCTCTGCAGAGCTTCACACTGTCTCAGCGAGCCGTCTCTTTCTTTTATGCCGGTGCACAGTATGCTTTGGTTGGTTTTGTTGCGGGAATCGTCGGCACAGCGATCACGTACGGCTTAATAGAGGGCCGCAAACAACTTGACAAGAGTTACCAGCCGGAACGCCCCTTGCCTGCGGTCGTTCCCAACTCTGCAGCGTGGGGCGCATTCATGGCTCTGTCCAGCAACACCAGGTTTCAGATTGTCGAGGGTATGGAACTTGGGGTTGCTCGATTGGCAGGAGGGCGGGCACAAGGCGCTGTCAATAGTGGAATCGTAGCTCTTCGATTTGCAAACAACTACTGGGGAGGCGTCCAGTTTGTGCAGTTCTTCCGGTATCTCGGGTTACACGCGACGGGCGACAGTGAAGAAGAATAAAGATGTTCCAAAATCTTTCGAACAGCGGGTGCAACCAGAAGAGTCCAGAATCATGCAGTCCTAGAGTTAGCCGCGTACAGAAAGCACACGTAGTCATGCCGCTCGAGCTTTGACGAGATGCTCAAACTTCCCGGGAACTTTCATCCGCGGGGCCTGCCTAGGACCCAGCTTGCCTAGCTGCCCGCAAGCCATCATCTTATCATCACCGCGCGATTTGCGTATTGTGACCGTCATTCCCTTCTTCACGAGGAAGTCCTGGAAGGCGAGCATAGTACCTTCATCGCTCGCTTCGAACTCGGTCCCTTCGTGCGAGTTGAAGTGAATGAGGTTGACTTTGCAAGGCACGCCCGCTGTAAGACGTAACAGTTCCTTGGCATCAACAAGCGAGTCATTGACACCCTTGAGCATAACATACTGAAAAAAAACCTTCTGCTGACGTGCAGCCTGCCGCGGAAACACATCTCTGAGCGTCTGCATCAGTTCTTCCACAGGGTACTTTCGGTTGATGGGCATTAACCAGCTCCGCAGCTCGTTGTTTGTAGCATGTAGAGAAACTGCCAAGTTAGCCTTGCTTTCCTGCGCAAGGCGCTTGATTTCCGGAATGAGGCCAGAAGTAGACACGGTAATCTTGTTATGACTAAAGTCCAGCCCCTTTGTGTCCAGCATGACATCAATTGCGCGCAGAACATTGTCAATGTTATGGGCCGGCTCGCCCTCCCCCATGAAAACAACATTACAAACCCTCCCCATGTCGCCCTGCTCAAAAAAGCGCTTTGCTTGCACGACCTGGTCAACAATCTCTCCCTGTGTCAGCGATCTCCTAAACCCTGTCCTCCCGGTAAAGCAAAACTGGCAGTTCAATGCACAACCCCATTGACTCGAAACGCACACAGTGGTCCTCCCCTCCGTCGGAATAAGCACGGTCTCAATAACGCCCCCCGCATCCAATCGAAACGTGACCTTCTTCGTGCCGTCCTCGCTCTCATGGACCTTATCCACGACAATAGCGTCAATCCTCGCCGTGTCTTTCAACATCTCGCGAAAGTCCTTTGACAAATCAGTCATCTCCTCGAACGTAGCCACGAGCTTGTCCGACTTGTACAGCCACCTCCACAGCTGCCTGGCGCGGAACTTCTTGTGTCCCATGTCGTGTTCGACCCAGCGCTCCAGCTCGAGAAGCGTCATGTTCTTGAGCAACACACGGCCCGCGTCGTCGACGGGGACGGTCGCGCACGGCTCGGCGCCCGCACCGGGGCTGACGTCGGCCTTGAGCGGGTGCACCGTGCCGTCCGGTACCACGCTTCGCCGCGTCGCCAGACCCCGCGCACCGCGGTGCGACGGCGTCGCCGAGCACGTGGGGACGCGTGGCCGCGGCCGCCGCAGAGAGGTTAGAGCGCGAGAGGGGGCCGGCGGGAACACCGGCGTTGGCGAGGTGAAGGCGGGCCACGCGCGCATGGAGCGCAGCACCAGGCGCTGGCGGAGAACGTGGAAGCAGTGGAAGGACATGGCGGCGCGTAGTTTCTGCTGGGGGCGCGGCGACGGCGTCCTTGTGAAGGTCGGTGAGTCGAGGGCAGGGAGGGTGATCGCGGTTGAGGGGGAAATTGGGGCGGATCAGAAAGGTCCCCGTGATCTCACTACATACTGCTGTACGTTTCCAAAACGGGCTCGGAATTCCTCTGCAAACGCAGGCTGCCTGCACACGGCTGAAACGTGTGCAAGGGGTCCATGTGCTCTGGTGCAGCTCGCCAGTCGACAAACTCTCTGTTTTTGGTCCCCGAGATATCGCCATCGACCGTCTTCCTTGACCGTCTTCCTTGACCGTCTTCCTTGACCGTCTTCCTTGACCATCTTCCTTGACCGCTCCAGCCCGACAAACCTGCGACGGTACGTGCAGCCTGTACGTCAGCAACTGCAGCATTCGTCCTCCGGCACCTCATCACCCCCCACCCTTCCGTCTTCAACCAACAACGCCCACCATGCAAACCTTCACCCCCCCATCGCCAGTACCCACTTCCCGCAAACGCGCTTTTCCCCACACCTCGCGCCGGAGGCTCCCCAGCACGCACCGATCTCCTCGACCGCGCCCTCACTGCTGCGCGGCCGCGACCAAGGTGCCGACTCCGGAGCCGGGCGCGGGTTCAGCGGCGCGCTTGCGGCGACGGGCGGGCACGATCATCGTGCCGGGCAAGTTCGACGCGTTCCACCTCGGCCACCTTGAGCTGGCTCGCGTGGCGGCGACGCTGGGCTCGCCGACGCTGCTGTCGTTCTCGGGCATGGCGGAAGCGCTGAAGTGGCCGCCGCGCGCGGCGGTGGTGGCGGCGGTCGATCGCGACCAGGTGCTGCGCGCGTGGTCGCTGACGGTGGGGCAGCCGGTGGCGTGGCGCGCGCTGCCGTTCGGGGAGATATGCGACCAGTCGCCCGAGGAGTTTCTGGACTTGCTGGTCGAGCGGTTCGCCGCGAAGGGCATCGTGTGCGGCGCGGATTGGAGGTTCGGGAGGAGGGCCGTGGGGGATGTGGATGTGCTGAGGGAGCTAGCGCCGGAGAGGGGGCTGGAGGTTAGGGTTGTGGACGCCATCGATGCGGGGGATGGCGGGGGGATTATTTCGTCGACGAGGGTGAGGAATGCGCTCGCGAGTGGAGAGGTGGCGGAAGCGGCGAGGCTGCTGGGAAGGCCGCATCGGTTGGTTGGGTTTGTTACGGCTGTTGAGGAGACGGTGGTGGAGTGTAGCGAGTTTGTTAACCAAGTGCCTGGGGATGGGGTTTATGAGGCAGTGGTGAGAGTGATTGGAAGGACAGAGCCGTTTCGTGCGAGGATTACGGTGAAAAGGTCGGACGGGTATAATCCGTTGACGCCGGTGTCGAACTTGGAATTGCCTGATGCAGTGGTGGTGAGGGTTGAAGATGCCGAGCACCTTTACTGTGAGAGTTGCGAGGTGTATTTGGATTTTATACAGCGAGTTGGGTAAATTGGACAGAGGTGCGCTTAATGTGTAGGGATGTAAAGGAAAGATGCTGTACAATGTGGTGCTTTTACTGAGTTTGTGGTTATCCAAGAGCTTTCCTTCGCTTGGCAGTGTTCATATGCGGTCTGAGGACCCACTCGTCATCGGCTTGGTCTTGATCAAGAGTTCCCAACCTGAGCTGATACAACTGCATTTCAAATCGAGGCCCGACCTCCTTGAGGTCGATCTGCTCCTTCTGATGCCCCTCCCTCATATAGGTATGGTGGCGAAACGAAATCTCGTCTTGGAAGTTACAAAACGACATGATCCTCTTCGAATCCGGCTTGGGCACGGGAAACAAATACTTGAGCACATCCGCCACCCTCGCCCCCAACCTCGAATCAAAACCGTGAAAAATGAGATGCGGCGCTGCCTCCGACATGGTAGACAAATGCTCCGGTTCAATATCATGCCTCATAACGACGTTCCTCAAGCTAAAATACGCGGTGGGTCCATACGGCAAGTGCGACACGATGAGCCCATCGGGCTGTCCTCTGTTCTCATGCAGCACGACGACATCCGTCATGCCGTTCGCCCTGGCGGCCGCGACCAGCTCTGTGATGACCAAGCTGCCGCGATTGAGCCTCTGGGCGTCGGGGAAGACGAGGCGGATCTCTTTTGCAAACTGCGAGAGGCGGGCCGACGGGGCGCGCGAGGTGGTGACGACGACGCGCGGCGGGGCGCGCGCGGCCGTCGCGTACTCGTCGTCGACGTGCGACGTCGGGGCGTCGTGCAGCGCGTCCGCGTAGGCGTCCGCCGCCGACAGACGCGGCTGCGCGCGCTTCAGCTCCGTCGGGATGGGCCGCCCCTCCGCCAGCGCCGTCCGGATCGCCAGGCGCTTCGCGTAGTCCGCCGCACGCTTCCCTTCCAGCGACTTGCGGTACAGGTACTCGCGCCGCTGGCGCGCTTCGCGGCGGAGCATGGTGGCGTCGGAGGGGGATGGGGCGTGGAGAGAGGGATGGGAGGGGGGATCGGGGCGATGGATGTAATGATGAGGAATGCCCTACTGATGAGGTGGGATACGCCACCGCCGACGTGCGCAGCGGAGAAAAGGAGAGAAGCATGGGCACGTGTGCAGACAGATTGTTTACAGTGAGTTTGCTTGCAGAGATGGGTGTTTACAGTGGGCGGGCGTACTTACAGACATGGTGCTTATAAATATGCGTGCTTACATATATATGGGTGCTTACAGATACGGGTGCAAGGGTGAATCTGGAGAGGTGGTTCCAGCATTGCGGAAGCAGGAGGTTTTGTGCTTCCTGAAGCAACAGTGGAGGAGGTGGGGAGATGGTGGAAAACGGCGAGAAAGGCAGTCTTACAGTAGCGGAAATGCGGGGCCGGTGCCTGGCACCAGGCGGGGAGCGAAGACGGAAGCGCTCATGGAGCGCAGCAACCGCCCGTGCTGTTGCCCGTGCGCATACCGCCCACAAAACAACTCAAAAACCCCAAAACGCTTGGCCCCGCAAAATCCTCCATAACCGCCACATCCGCCCCCCCACGCCCCACTCCCCGTGTTCCCCCCGCACGCCGGCCCTGCATCTTCCCCTCCCCCTCCCTCCCCTTACCACTGGCCGCGCTTGCTCGGCTACCGAGTGCGCTACCGCGCAAGACACGCGTCTTGGACTCTCGCACCACCACCGATGAGCGCGGCCCCGCCGCCACAGGCTGACCACATCCTCCCCGAGGAGTACCACCCCGACGCGTATGACCCCGCCGTAGGAGGCCCCAGTGTGCCCCCCGAGGATGATGCCTTCGATTCCGACGAGCTCAGGTATGGCGACGACGACGACGACGACGCCGACTTTACCGACTCCGAGGACCACTCCGATGAGGACGCGCTGTCGGATGATATCTCCGCAGACGAATCCGTCGAAGGTGAGGAGGAGGGTAGACTGGTGAGGCAGGATTCCTCGTTTGCGAGGCTCTCGGCAGAGTCGTGGTTGACCGTCGTTTCCGAGTATGAAAAGGACGGCCCCAACGATAACCTCCTCTTCTCTCATGTCGAAGAAGAGCTTCAGCATGACCCCGCAGAGGAGGCCGCGGCGAGTGAGATGCATGACGTCTCCGCACTCGCGGGTCGCTCCGTTTTGGACTGTGTCGTTGACCTGCTCCGGGGCACTAGGGCACAGAAGCGCAAGATGCTTCGACGCTACGGAGAGCGCTGGATTTGGCTCGGCGAAGACCTGCTTTCGCTCAATTGGAAGTCGAAGAAGCGCGGTGTCGACCAAGGCAGGCTAAACTTGACAAAAGTTAAGAAGCTTCGCTCCCAGGATAGAGAGCTTACGGTTGAGACAAACGACGGCCGCAAGGTAGGCCTTGTTCTTGCAACGAAGGAGGAATCAGTTACCTGGCTTACCGGCCTCTCGTGTCTTGTCCCGAAAAAGGCAAAAGTCACAGAGTCGAATAAGCTGCTGAAGGAGCGAATCAGGTACGACCCTCTGCGAGATTCATGGAGGGGGAGAGCTGTATCCACGAGAAAGCATGTCAATGAATACATTATGCTCGGCGGCATTGGACGGGGGTCTTTTGGAAAGGTCAAATTGGCATTGTCTACAGCCGACAAGAGATTTTACGCTGTCAAAGTCATTCTCAACGTGAAGAAGAATGGTGTCTCCGAATCCATGAGTAACCGGGAGGAACAGGCTGTCCTGCGCAAGCTCGACCACCCTAATATTGTGCGACACAAGGACGTCCTGTTTGACCCGGATCGAGACGGATATTGTGTTATTGTCGAGTACATGGCTCGAGGAGTTGTCATGGATTCGAGCAAGTTGGAGGGAGTCAAGCCCCTTTCAGAAGACGGCGTTAGGGAAATTATGCGTGATGTTGTGGCCGGGCTTGAGTATTTGCACTATCAGAGAATAGCACATCGAGACATCAAGCCTGACAACCTTTTGCGGTGTGGTGATGGCACGGTGAAGATATCGGATTTCGGTGAGGCGCGCATGTACGACGTGTCAGCGGAAGATCCGAGGGCCAAGGCCGCCGCCCCAGGGACACCCGCATTTATAGCTCCCGAATTGTGTGTTTCCGAAAGAAGCCCGAAAGCACCACCAGAGTCGTACGCCGCTGACATTTGGTCATTAGGGGCATCTCTGTTTTACATGGTGTACGGTCGCGCTCCTTTCCTTGCAAAGTCGGTTTTTGAAATTTACGACTGCATCTGCACGCAACAACTCCGTTTTCCTGACCAACCCAAGGTTTCTCGGAAGCTGAAGGATTTAATCAAGAAGATGCTTATTAAGGAACCAAAGAACCGAGCCAAACTGCAGGACGTTGCGAAGCATGCATGGTTTGGTGAGAGAGTTGCGCAACGGGAAGAATTGAAGAAGATTCGCATCACACCAGCTGATGTCGAGAACGCGATTGGCAAGGCAAGTTGGAAGATTCCGAACGACAGAACATCAGATCTGGCTGATTCTGTATAAACAGAATCAACGATGAATGTAGAGCCGAAGATGCCCTTCTAATCGAATAAGAAATATGAAGTGGACTCAAATATTTTCACTGTACAAGTCTCTTATCCCTCGTGAATATTTCTAAAGTATTAACGCCTATGGGTTCCAGGGCGGTTCGCAAGGGATGGTGGAAGAAGGAAAAGAAGGGTTGTGGGAGAATAAGGGTGATTAGGCAACATCCGAAAATTGCCAATTGGGAAGCTGTAGAACGTGGGAGTGTGGTCAACGACTATACGATACCGGCGAGGCCTTGGAGAAAATCTAAGATGTGACGGGTGACTTGTGAAGGTTTTTCGATATGCGGGCTATGTCCGCTGTCCTTCACGATCTCAAGTTTGCAGTTGTGAATAGTGTCAAGACATTTTTGAGAGTCGCCTTTCGGTAGAACACGATCGTTTTCACCCCATAAGACAAGGGTGGGACAATTTAGGTGTTGCACCTTGTTGCTAAGACAATACCCTTCGCCGATGATGAAATTAACAGCAGCCTCCTTCCACCCGTCAGATCTGCAATGAAGACCGCCTATCCTTCGAGTATCGCAACACTTAAGTTTTTCGGAATGGTAGGCTAATTGTACGGCCTGGTTTCGAAGCCAGTCCGAGCGTAAGATATCGGCGCCCATTGAAGCCAATATAGGAAACTTTTGCATTAGAGGTGACGCAGGTTTATCCGTAAATGCCTGTGGTGCCAAAAGAGTCAACCCTCTGACCCGCTGCGGGTAGTTGAGGGCAAAATCTATCGCGACCGCTCCCCCGACGGACGCGCCGACTAGGACAACGGGCTGGTCCCCAACAACCTGTTCCAAGTAAGCGCGCAAATGCTCTCGCTTCGCGTCCGGCCCGTACGAAAAGCCGTCTGCATTTGGCTTCTCCGTGAGTCCCCATCCCAGGACGTCCAGAAAGTGGGCGTCAACCGCGTCCTCCTCGTCCAGCAGCGGGAGCATGTAGCGGAACTCCAGGCTGTTGGAATCGAACCCGTGCATGAACAGGACGGGCACGGCGTCGGGCGTGGCCGCGGGTGACGTGACGTGCGCGGTACCGATGCGCCGCTGCGGGAGCTGCGTCTCCAGCTCGGTGTACTGCAGGCGGCGTAGCATGTCGAGCGCGTACTGGCACTCGATTTCGCTCGCCGCCGCCGGGACGCACGGCAGGAAGGCTGCGGGTGGGGCCGTGGCCGGCACGCGCGCGTCCGCGTGGAGCGTCGCGCGGGGCGCGTGCTGGGGGCGGCGGGATGGCACCGCGGGGGGCCCGCAGCGCGGAGCGGCGGCGAGGCCGACGTGCCGCGGTAGCGGGTTGGGTTGAGCGAAGGTCAAGGCAACCATGGCGATGAAGGTGGCGGGGGAGGGAGGAGGAAGCTACCTAGCTTCCAGGTGCTCGTCGGGGAGGAGCGGTAGCGTATGGCGGATGAGACAGCGGGGTGTATGGTGGAGATCAAAGTTGAGTGGTTTGCTCCGATGAGTGCATCTCCACCAACACAGTAGCAAAGGAGCAAATTATTAAATTTGATCAAATTTGATGATTTGCTCATTTTGCGCAACGCGTTTGAGTTCCGCCCCAGGGAGATGCGGGAAATGGCGTGTTCGGTGCACAAAACGCAGTGCTATACTGTTGCGGCTAGTCCAAGCCGCATACCTCACCGATCGCGGGCGCAGCAGGATCTGAAAGTAGTCCTCGAGTTTACCTCCAGCTCGCCTGTAGCTTCCTCGATACCTATCCTATATGCGCGTCGCGTCTATCTTATACTACCGATACCCGCCGCCCTTGGCGGCCGTTCCGTCCCCCAAGTCCCGTGCCGGCACCAGCTGCCACCCCCCGAGACTCGGGCCGTTCCATCAGCCCCTCCGTCGCGATCTCCTGGTCTTCTTAAGTCTCCTGTCCTCTCCGATCCCGCCGTTCTCCTCGGCACACCGCCGAGCCCAACGTTATGCCCACGTCCAACGTCTTGTCCGCGCTTCCGCCCGACACCTCCCTTGGTTCGGGCGGCTCCTCTCAGCACCTTGTGTCAGCCTCCAGCCCAACGACACCATAGGGTCCAAACGTTCTCGTCCTCCCGCAACGTCCTCGCTTCCCCGCAACGTCCTCGCCTCCCCTAGATTCCCTCACCCGACAGTGTCGGGGTGGGCCGCGCATTGAACGCCAGGCCATAGGCGGCAGCTCTCACGTGTACCACGTGTCAAGCAGAAATCAAATTTGAATCCGCAACAATACAGTACCCTTCTCACAGGCTTAATTTGAGTACAGGGGGGGTCGCGCAATAGGGCCACTTTGAGTAGTGCTTGCCACGCATTAGTGCGACGAAAACGCCTTGGCACGGTTATCATACTTCCTACACGTGTTCATACACGTGTGCCCGCTGCACATGTCGCACAGCACGTAGCGCCGCATCACGCACAGCGGGCACGGGATCTGCTGCTTGACTTTGGCAGAGAGCATCTGGTCGGGGCGCCGCAGGGGGGGGAGGGGTAGAGCGAGTGCAAGGGAGGAGAGAGCGGACAGGGGGGGAGGCAGGGACGTTCGCAGCTGTCGCCTATTGAGAGGTACAGTAGAATTCCGCTTCAAAGCCTGGCATCTCTGATCCCTCGCTTCAAACAGGACATGTCCTGTTTGAAGCGAGCGATCAGAGACAACTGTATGTAAATGATTGTGTTTTGGCGCTTTCAGTATAGTGCCATTCACGCAATAGTGCCATATGTCGAGGTCTGCTCCGGTATAGCACTATTGCGTGAGACCTTCTGTAATGGTGAAATTTGGGTACCGTTCAAACCTCGAGCCTATGCCTCCCCCGCCTTCTAAAACTTTCCACAGTGCATCTCAAAACCCTATACCTCGCGCAGAGACAGTGTTCTCCTCCCTCCTGCACCCTACGTTCGCCTTGACTCGGCGGTGGCGGTGTGCCACCGTCAATGAGAGCGCAAGCACTCACTCACAAGAGGCAAATCGCAAAAAGAAAAGAGGAGGCAGCTCGACGCACAAAGCTCCTTTCCCTAATCACAGGGGGCGACAGTGCCCTCAAAGCGTCAGGAAAGACAGGTGTGTCTCGATCAACCGCCATACGAATCAAAAATGCATATCAGAGCTCAAACACGGACAAACTCAAAAAGTTGCTAAATACAGAGGACAATCACGCCGGCCGCAAACCCGTTCTGTCTCCACGTAAGGAACAACTTGTAGTTAACCGAGCTCTACATGCCGTTCACCATGGCTTCGCAGTAGACAACAACGTGATAAGCACAGTACACGCCAAAATTTCGGCTCATCGTTCCGCCAGATACGCAAATGGCTTGCCCTCACCAGACGCTATCCGTTCATTTCGAGCTCGTAATCGCTCCCTCGCTTATCGTGTTGCTGAAAATGTCTCAAGCGCACGCCTCGCTGCTGAAAATCAGTCTCATATACCCACTCTGGCGAAAGCCCTCAAATGCGTCGAGGAAAATCATCCCGGCATTTTTTTGGACCCACGCCGCATTTGGAACTGTGACAAGACGGCTGTCTCAGGAGAGTACGGTAGAACAATAAGGTGTTAGATCTCCTCTAATACCCACAGCGGTACTGTGAGGAGGAGCATGCGGGACGTTGGGAAGCATGTGACCGCTAGTATCGCTGTAGCGGCTTGCGGAAACATTGTACCTCTATTTCTCGTAGCTTCCGGGAAACGGGTTGTCGGCACTTGGAAGGAGCCCCTGAGCGAACTTGTCTTTACTGACTCGCGAGGAATACCGCACTGGCTTTGTGGGTGACAGTGGTTTCCTTCATACACATCTCTTCACGTAACAAAGAATGGATCCGTGGATCGAAACATATTCGTCAAAATTGCAGAGCACATAAACAAGCATGCTTGAAACACCATCTCCTCAGATAAGCACATTGTGCTGTTGGTGGACAGACACAGCTCCTGTGATGGGCTACCGTGGCTTGAGACGTGTGAAAGATTGAATATTATCGTTATGCGGCCCCCCGCAAACACAACGCATATTCTCCAACCCTGCGACTAATTTGTGAATCGCTCATTTCAGGAAACAATGCAGAAGACAAGGGAATAATTGCTCTCTATGAGCCATTTATCATGGGCGAATACCTCTTAGAAAATCTAACTGGCTGTTGCAGGCCACCATTCCATCACACCGTACGATGCTCGAGCGTCGTTCGTCAAATGTTCTATTTGGCCTATGGCCTACCGCTTTATATACCTTGCTACCTCTGATAGTGCTTCAAATGGCCTCGACACACGATCTGATATCTCATATCCCAGTACAGGGCGCCAATTTGTCAGTTGGACCTCACATAGGGTCATGCGAACGTAAAACCTCAAACTACAAAAAGCAATTCAAGAACTGACTGACGGCAGGCTACCCGCCTCCCGCGCTCTCGCACAGGTTGCTCGTCTTCTCCAGTCCAATTACAGAGTCCAGAACATACTATCACACGAAATCCGTGCCCTAAAACGGCATCCTGCACTCGCACAGCACGTAAAAATAGTGGAAATGCAGGGAGCGGCTGTTCTCACTTCGAATGTTTCTCAAAGGCTGTCGAAGGCTAACGAAACTTCAAATCGCGAACACGCGAGCTCACAGGCTATCAAGACACACAGTAGGGTGATGTCGAGGGAGTCTTTTTGTGACGAAGAAAACGTAGATCCTTCTGGAGAGGCGAAGGTTGCTCGAAACCTAGAGAGCAGTTTTTCGGTTTCTTTGGACGAAGTTCCCCTGAGTTAGTGGCCGACACAGAGTCGGTCTAGTGTCAAGGGGAAAGGGGAGAGTCACGATACCGGTCCGCAACATGCCGCAGCACAAAGTCTCCTCGGTTTGTCGCAGCCTAGGTAAATGTGCTGCGGTATGGGTGCCCAAATTGAGCCGGATGGTACGTGGAGCAGTCAAAGAGAAAATTTTTGGTACTGAAAATCTGGCCAGTGCAGGGGTAAAATGGCCGATTTTAGGAAAATTCTAAAGCTACCCAAATTGAGCCGATGAGAAGGGTACTGCTCACGCTTTCTTCATTTGTTGGGAACTGCTTACTGCAATCAGACTCGGCGTTTATTGAATACAAAATGGTGACCATTTCACTGCATACAATGCAGCCTCCAACAACCTACCAACTCACCTTCGGCTCTAATATACGTTGAATATGTGCTCCCCGTTCGCGATAAGTACTTGCGTGATATTGGCAACAACAAAAAAACAAGCTGAGTGAAAGACTAGTTTGTGTCGGAATCTGTGAGAGAGCACGTTGAACTGTTTCAAGCGTTTGCCAGCAGCCTCATGACGAGCTCGAACAAACGGCCATGTATCTCGATCTGCTTGTTGAGAACAAGTACATGTCTCATCGCGATATCCCCCATCTTCCACCACGCGTTCTGCAACAAATAGTGCCTGTTTCATCCCTAGTCGATAAATTGTCAAATCGTTATAGCTGCCACATGGAAACGGTCCATGTGCCCATACTATCAAACCAGAATCAATAGATATTCCTACTTCATACCTCAGGCCTGGATCATGGAACTTGTGGGAATACCAAGAACTGGAAAACAGCTTGGGTTCCACAATCCGAAAATCCACTCCGTCAACAGATGCCTTGTATCTACTGTGCTCTCTTCCCTCAAAGCGTCCCTCCCAAATAAGCTGATTGCAGTTAGTCAAATTCCGAAAAACGACAAAGGCATTTTTCTTGTCGACATACCTTTCCTAGAGATGATAGAGCTCGAGTGTACACGTATGACAACTTCCGAAAAGTCTTCGGAT